ACATGTTCTGATGAGGTCTGACTGCAATAGGAACTACAATAGGGTCATCTCTCTCCCTTCTACTCTCTATGTGACTCAAAACAGAGTCCAGTCAGTGAGAATAGAATGAATATAGCCTTGTTCCAGATCCTGTACAATCGATTAAAGTGAGCTAAAATAAATCAAACTCTGCTTTTTTGTTGAGTGCTCCAACTCCTTTCTACCTCAAATTAGTCCTTTTGGAAGTTTTTCTTGGTAAGCCCTTCTCTTGTTTGAGATCTGTTTGTGCTTTTGCCTACTCCATTGTCATTGTCAAGTTGGCAATAGAGTTGGCAATACAGCAGAAACAGACTGGCACCCAGGCTAGAATGAATAGCCCACCCCAAGTAATCCTGGAGACTTTGATCATCTAACATCAAACCCAGCAGCAGCAGAGACCCTCCAGCCAGTATCCAGTCCAGCCAGAACTCCCTCCCCCCAGTCACAGCCAACAGCAACATGACTTCATCTGCTAATAGAAGGAATGAACCCACCTCGCTGGTGGACACATTTCTCCCCATGTTTGTTTGGCTTCTGAACGACAGGGCAGGAAGAGGTCAGAGCCAGCGGAGGAGGTACAGGGTAGTCACTATATGGCCATGCTAGAAATGACAAACGTGGCAATAGCATCATTGCTTATTAGCAACAACATGAGGTACTTTGTCTAGATTTACTGGGGTTAGAATGATAGAAAGGTTCTTAAAGTCCTGCCGTCCTGACGGATGGAGTTATGTCAGGTGTTACCTTGGGCTGGGCAACTCTGCCTCTGAGCACTCTGGGTAGCTCATTCTAAAGCAGTAGAGGGAGAGCAGAGGATGACGGTGACGGAAAGAGCAGGGAGGAGAGAGGAGGCAGAATTGAGAGAGCGGAGGAGCCAGGCAAGAGGGGAGTCAAGCGAGAGTAGCGCATGAGAAAGTAGGAAAGGGGGAGGAAAAACAAAGGAGGAATATGGCAGGATAGAGAGCGGGAGAGGAGGGCCTCCATAATTTATCAGTCAGTCATAATGAAGGCCTTGGCCCGAGGAGGAGCAGGCGGGAAACCTAATCCTTGGCAACACAAAGACGCTGGCTAGAGATGTAGCCCTGTCTCCAGGCAAACTAACTACCTCAATCTGCCAACAGATATGATTGCACCCGCTCCCGTTGTCTGAATACATACTGTACAAACACGCAAATAGATACTCAAATAACCTACATGCATTTAGATATAGACTGCTTGGAAGCTCAGTACACTATGCTGCCCATACACTATACTAACCCAGATACTGGGAAAGAGAGAATGTGTTGTTACCCACACCACAAGTCACTCCACTGAAAAGGGAGGTTTGGTTATGTCATCTAGCCTAGGTGCCAGACTGTTAATGCATTAAACAATACTACATTGTTGCCTCGGCTTGTTTGGCCAACCAGATTGGCTAAAGCAGAAAGACACTGGCAGCCAGGCTAATAATATTATTATCATCCACATCAAGGCTAGGAGGCTAGCAGAGCTACAGTGTGAGGAGGAGGCAGTGTTGAGAGCATTGGAAGCTGCTGAAGGCCTATATCTGCCTCAGTAGAAGCACAGAAATTTTCCTAGAACGCCTAGCAGGGCTTAGTGTGGATCGGCTGGGGTCTGTCTTCGGGTCAAGGGGGAAAGGTGGGGGGGCAGTGGTTGTGGAGTCATTTGGCTGGTATAAATCTTTCTGTAGCGCTGGTCAACAGCAGCAGCATGGCAGGGTGTGGTGTGGTGTACTGGGATAGTGTGACAGTGTGTTGTGATTAGGGCTACTACTGTGGTTTGGTTTGGGGTAGATGGACATTATGACCTTGAGTAGGTCTGTGGAGACAGAGTTCTGGTCTGGCCTATAGCAGGGTGTGGTGTTGACTAACAGAGTTGGAAGGTTAGTGTGGGAGTAGTAAGGATGGGGGGCCTTTGTGGTTCTGGGTATTGGGACAGGCCTGGTCTGGAGTGTGTCTCACTGTCTGTGTTGTTGACTCCTGTTCACTAGCAGAAGTAGCAGACCGAGCTGGGTGTGGTGGGCTACCAGTGTTGATGTTTGGCAGGGAGAAAAGCAAAGATCTTGGCCTCCCTCAAATGTGCTGTTATTGATTCCTCACTGGGTGAAAGAAAGATGGTGTGTTTGGTGAGCAGCAGAGACAGAAATAGAGGGACTGTGGGAGAGTGTACAGTGTGTACAGGAGGGAGTGTGTAATGTCAGTGTGTACAGGAGGTTGCCTCTCTCTCGGCCCTCCATTTGCGTGTTTACGGCTCCGCCATATGCACAAGTGTCCCAAAACTGAGGGAGTGAAATTGATCGAGGGTGTACAGTAGGGGCTAGGTTGCAAGCTCCAGAGCGAAGTGCTATCCCAACACACACCGTGATGTGTTTAGAGTTTACGCAATTTAATGCAAAAATAATGGAGAGGCCTGCGTGATTATATGATGATATTCCCCTCGCCAGTCTGGAAGTCAACCTCGGAGTGATAACGGAGGGCCCTCCGAGTGAGTTGGTAGGGGAGGGAGGGAGGGAGAGAGGGAGGGAGAGAGGGAGATATAGTTTCGATATATAGAGAAGAGAGAGAGAGGAGAGATAGAAGAGAGAGAGAGAGGCTCAGAGAGAGAGGAGATCTCAGAGCGTGATAGTGCGACGCATCTCGATTCAGCCGTCTAAGCAGAGCTAGCGCGTCAGGATAGCTCATCGTCCAGATCTCGCGAGCGCTCCTCTCTCCTCTCGAGGAGAGAGAGAGCGAGGCCTCTCTCTTCTACCCTCTCTCTATACGAATAGATCTATAGATACCTATGTCATAGGCCTGCTTTCTCTTTGACCTTTGTTCTGATGTTAGCTATGTCATGTACAGTATGTAATTTCCAGCATGTTGGCCTACTCTCCTCTCTTCTAGTAAATATACCTGTGCCACACCCTGTATGGGAGAGGTCACCACCTGGCTCTTATATATGACCCAGATATACCAACTCCCTTACTAACATTACCAGCATGCTGCATTGGATGCCACCATCAAGCCATCCTATTTCATAGGCCTATATACTGTATATGCCAACTGTTTTATACATGATCCTGGGTATTCTTGTGGTGCTGGATGAAGAGGTCATGTTCCTGCTCTGTTGACCCATGCCCTGTAACATGTATAGTGCTGCTGACCTGAACCAGACTATATTAACTATTCAGGAGCCCAGAGCTGTCCACGCAACCACTAGGTGACTTTGACTGACACTATCATAACTGCCAGGGGACTTTCTTGGAAGTCGTATGTGTGTGTGTGACAGGGGTAGTATAGTGTTACCCTGTGGCTTTTTCAATGTGTTCTGTCTATCACTGGTCACTGGCCATACCCGTATAGCTCAGATTTGTTGTGTTAATCCAGGTTGGTAAATGGCCACAGTGTGTTCCTTTTTAGGGTGGGATTGGCGAGAGGTCTATGTGTGTGTGTTGTGTCTGACAGTGTTGAGTTGTTCCCATCAGCAGGCTTGGCTGTGCTGTTGTTATGCCTGATTGGATATGATATGGAGTTGTCTATTATCTATACTGTTGCCTAGTCACTTTACCCCTAGCTATATGTACATAGCAACCTCAAGTACCTCCAACCAATGCACATGGTCTCAGCTCTGGTATTCTCTGTATTTAGCATGTTATTTTGACTCGTTATTGTTATTCATTATTCACTGTGTATTTATTCCTTGTGTCACAATTTCTCTATATATATTTTTTAAACTTTATCTCTAACTCTGGAAAAAGTAAACATTTCACTGGTAGTCTACACCTGTTGTTTATGAAGCATGTGACAAATAAAATTAGATTAGATTTGATTGTTGTTTCTCAGTTCTGTTGCTCAGGGAAGTGTCATCTTAACACTGATGCCCAGTCAGCTGTGAATTTGATTTGACACCTGCCCACTCTGATGCTTTCATTTTGCACCATTTAGAATGTATTTTTTTCAAACTCTCTATCAATACATTTTAACTGCTTGATAACTGAAATATTATATTGTATTAGATACAGTGAGGTCTGAAATTATTGACATAGCCCTTAGACATGCTAACCTCTCACCGTTACCAATAGCAGGGGAGGTTAGCATGTCTTAGAGGTATGATCTTTGACTCTCTGAAACTTTCTCACTCATCATTATTCACGATTCATTCAGGATTATCTGAAATTATGGTGGCATCCACATGAATGTAGAAGCGTTAAGAAATATATTATATTCTTATTTACAATAAAAGTGACTCCAAAATGACACAATACATTATTTACCATTAATTTCTATTGGGCACAAAGTAATCTGAAAACACAACCAAAACGAACTGCAAATGCATCCAGCAAGGTATTTCTCTAAGCAATTATATTAGTATCAAATAATATATTTCCCCCATTTTGTTGAGCATACAAAATAGCACATGATTTTTTATTTTTTATTTAATATAGTCATTATTGCTCATCTTTATCAAGGGTGTGAATCATTTTGGAGCCCACTGTACGTATGTATGTGTTTGCCATGTGACCAGCATGGTTTTCTCAGAATACTGTGTGTGTGTGTGTGTGAGAGCCACATACACAACAGGAAACAGTAAATTACCCCCCCCCTTCCTCCTAACAGTTGCCAGGTGTGTGTATGCGTGCCTGCGTGCATAGGCCTATTCATGTGTGTGTGTGTGTGTGTGTGTGCGTGCCCCCCCCCCCTTCTCCTTGTGCCATCCTTCCGTAATGCTTCAGTAAGTGAGCAGAGTTTTCCACTGGGGGCACACCTGCAGCCTGTCATTATGCAAATATACTTGCCTTAGTGTTTTGTCAGCATTTATTTAACATCTCACCAACTTTGGTGACACCATAAGGCAATTCCATAGACTACACATCATGTGTCTCTTCTCACTCTCACATGCATTATGATGGTACAGCAGTGTCTCCGGGATTACGTTGATTTTAGAGATGGTGAAATTATAAAAAATATATGAATGAGGTATTAATCTATTCTCTCTCTCTCTCTCTCCCCCACTCTCTCTCCCCCTCTCTCTGTCTCTGTGTGTGTCTGTCTGTCTGTTGTAGTTCCCAGAGTGTGGCTTCTATGGCATCTATGACAAGATCCTGCTATTTAAACATGACACAGGCACCAACAACATCCTGCAGCTGGTCAAGGCTACCCAGGACATCCAGGAGGGAGACCTGGTGGAGGTGGTTCTCTCTGGTGGGTAGCAGTCTCTCATCCACTTCTGCTCTCTTTTCATCCACCCATCCTCTTCTCCCTTACTCATCCTTTCATCCACCTATCCTCATCTTCCTGCTCCCCTCCTCTTTTTCTCTCTGGTCCTCTCATCCTCTTATTCCTCCTAACCCTCTCTGTTCCTATCCCTCGCATCCTTATGTTATTGAACACTAAATAGAGCCACAGGAAACATGCATAACACCTTGCACTCAACACCATGTGTGTTTGGACAATTTGGCTCTATACTCCAGCATTTTGGATTTGGGCCAAGCATAATCTGAAACACAACCAAAACAAACTGCAAATGCATCCATTTGCAGAGTCACAAGCTTTGTGTAATCATTGTGTGCAGGGAATATAGGACCAAATTCAAAAATGTTGACTACTTTTGAAATGTTTGACTACACTATTAGTGAATTTATCCAAATACTGATGACTTCTGCAAATGGGGGACTAGATACAAACAGAGCTTTCATTTCTAACCGGATAAACAAATGTGTGAAAATACCCTCAAATAAAAGGTGACATTCTGTAATGTTGCCTCATATGAAACATTTGATCTCAACTCCAAAATGCTGGAGTATAAAGCATATTCACAGACAGTATATCATTGCTAAAGTGATTGACAGATTGATACCCTGGTTGATACCCAGACTGACTGTTGTGTTTCTCTGTGTGTTGTCTGTTTGCAGCTGCTGCCACCTTTGAGGATTTCCAGATCCGGCCTCATGCACTGAATGTCCACTCGTACCGCGCCCCAGCCTTCTGTGACCACTGTGGAGAGATGCTGTTTGGACTGGTCAGACAGGGCCTCAAATGTGATGGTACGAGAGACAGAGAGAGAGAGAGGGGCGGGGGGGGGGGGGGGGGGTGGTTGTTCTGCCGGCCTGATAAGTATTTTGTCTGAAGAAGGGCATTGGTTTATATTTAAATTACGCTCTTATCCAGAGCGACTTAAAGTTAGGGCATTCATCTCAAGATTCATCGCTAGGTGGGAAAACCACATATGTCAGTGATAGTAAGTACATTTTCTCTCAATAAAGTAGCTATCTGCAAAGTCATTTCCCCTTTGTGTGTGAGCTCAACTCCCCAACTCCTCCCCCTTCCTTTCTCTCTCTCTCTCTCTCTCTCTCTCTCTCTCTCTCTCTCTCTCTCTCTCTCTCTCTCTCTCTCTCTCTCTATCCGTCTCTGCCTCTCTCTCTCTCTCTCTCTCTCTCTCTCTCTCTCTCTCTCTCTGTGTGTGTGTGCCTCTCTCACTCTCTGTCCTCCCCTGCAGGCTGTGGACTGAACTACCACAAGCGCTGTGCCTTCAGCATCCCCAACAACTGCAGCGGCGCTCGCAAGCGGCGCCTGTCCACCACGTCTCTGACCAGTAGCCAGTCGCTACGTCTGTCCACCAGTGAGTCCCTGAGCAGCGTGGGGACCAGCTCAGTCAGCACCTGCATGGAGGATGCCAGCCTGATCCGCTCTCACACCACCCAGACGCTCCCGAACTCCACCTGTACCACATCAGCATCCCTGGGCCTGTCCCCCAGCACCTCCATCACTAGGCCCATGGTCCGCGCTAACACTCAGATGGTACTTCATCCACTCAACTCCTCCTAGTGTCTGTCTTTAATAGTACACTGCTCCGTGCAGAGTTGAGGTCAATTCGATTTCAATTCAATCAATTCAGGATGTAGATTTACTCATTGCTTTTCAGGAAAATTGGAGTGATGTCAGTTTACGTCCCGGAATTGACTGTGTTGAAATGGGATTGACCCCAACCATAGCTCTGTGTGATAGACATGGAAAGCCAACACTCTGATTTACATACCTAGAAATACCATGGATAGATCAGTATAATTGTAGTTTCTTCGTCTCCTTCCGTCCCCAGCCGCGGACCCCGAGCGAGGCGCGGCGGTTCTACACGGGCCGGCCGGTGCACCTGGACAAGATCCTGATGAGCAAAGTGAAGGTGCCGCACACGTTCGCAGTGCACTCCTACACGCGCCCCACCGTGTGCCAGTACTGTAAGAGACTGCTCCGGGGCCTCTTCAGACAAGGGCTGCAATGCAAAGGTTAGTATGGGGTCAAAGGATAGTGTGGGGTCAAAGGTTAATGTGGGGGTCCCAGGGGTTTATCAAGAGGGGGATAACTTATTTGGAGTGCATATTGGAAGAAGATAAACTGTCTAACAATGACGTTGATTGTTCGTGTTGTGTCGTAGACTGCAAGTTCAACTGCCACAAGCGCTGTGCGTACAAGGTTCCCAATGACTGCCTGGGGGAGACAATAGGAGGTAAAGAAGACAAACACATTTGTATGTTGTGTCATGTTGTATGATGATGTTGTCATGTTGTATGATGATGTTGTCATGTTGTATGATGATGTTGTCATGTTGTATCATGATGTTGTCATGTTGTATCATGATGTTGTCATGTTGTATGATGATGTTGTCATGTTGTATGATGATGTTGTCATGTTGTATCATGTTGTGTCATGTTGTTAAAAGTGTGGCCATGATTTGTCCAGCCACACTTCAGATAACATTATCTATAGCAGGGATGGGCAACTTTGATGGGGGTGGGCGCCACAAAAAAACAGAACTCATCATGAGGGGCCGCAGTGGCTTGTGGGTCTGCGTACCCACATCCATACCCTCTAATATTATATGCAATATTAGTACTTATATAGAGTACTAATATTATATAGTACTTACTTCTCAAATTTTTTTTGGATTTTCTCAGACAACAGAAGTGGTAAGTACTGCCTACTTACATACTGGTATAATGGGGCTTTGTAATGGAAGGTGGTGTTACCCTATTTTCTTTGTCTATTCTCTAGATATCTTTGTAGTCATGTGTGTCTGGCTCTGTCCTTCTTTCTCCTCCAGACATGTTGAGTCCCAGTGTGGACCACGAGGTGCCTATGGACTATGCCGACTCAGACAAGTCTTCTCTGATGGACGATTCAGACGAGGCCTGCAGCATCCCTGGTTCTTTCTCCCCTGAGAGCAGCCAGGATGGGGTCAGTGGGGACCAGAGGTACATACGTACGCACACGCACAATAACACGCACACACACACGCACACACACACCTACACCTAACACTGTCTCTCTGTTCCTCAGCGCTAACATCCCATTGATGAGGGTGGTTCAGTCTATGAGGCAGACCACCCGTCGCTCCAGCACATCCATCAAAGAGGGCTGGATGGTGCACTACAGCAACAAGGACACACTGGTAAAACTACTGGCTGACTGGCTGACTGACAATGTGAAACATTTTCTCTACCACACCAGATTCCATTTTTTCTCGCTCTCTCTCTTTTTATTTGATTTTTTAAACTTTCAGATACATTTTCTCTATCACACCAAATGTTACTTTTTTCTACTTCTTTTCTAAAACGTTCATAAAAAACAAACAATTATATTCTATTTTAAGGGTACCTAATTAACACTTTATAAGGCATTTATAAATTGTGTTCACTGTTTATTAATCATTACTCCCACATTTGTAAATGTTAGTAAGCTAGTTAATCACACATTTATATATATATTTCCTTAAACATCCTGTTTTGTGTGCTTATTCTTTTACCAGGTACTGCTGGAATGTCTACCAATGGCTAACCGATTAAACTCAACGATTTACGATGGAGTTGTGCGGCAACTAACGTGGGCGGACTGGAGCTCCGACGTCATATAAAATGACGTTTTTATAAAAAGATCACTCATTTAATCTCCCAAAGAATACCCCGCAATTACACACAACATTGTTCTGTGTAATTGTGGGCTATACAATGGTGCTGAAAAACAAAAAAACAAACAAAAAAACATTTTATGTGATGTCGGCACTCCAGTCCGCCCACACTAGTCGCCGCTCAACTCCATCGTAAATCGTGGTGTTGAGTTTAGTCAGCTAGCCAATGGCATGTCCATCTTTTTGTGAGAACACTGGTCACTAAATACATGTATAAAGTATTTATAAAGTATAAATTGCACTCACTTTAGATTCGGGAAGGCAAAAAAAAACATAACTAATGATTAGTAAATGTTGGAGTAATAGTAAATGTTGGAGTAATAGTAAATGTTGGAGTAATGATTAATAAATTGTGAACACACAATATATAAAGGCCTTATAAATGGTTTATTAGGTATCCTTAAAATAGTGTTACCAGTCTACTTCTTTTCTAAAACTTTTAGAGAAGGTTTGTTCTCCATGACATTGACACACTCTGTTTATCATTCCCTCTACCTCTCCAATCTTCCATCTCTTCTTCACAATGTTTTCTGTTGGAGTTTCTCTTACCTCTATAACTCTGACCTCCTTCGCCGTTAATGCTCTTCCTTTTCATCTCTGTGAAAGTGTGTTTGTGTATCTCCGGCTGAGTGTGATAGATGGAGTATAACTGCTCCCTACTGCACTAAAGTACTCAGAGACGTGTGTTGAATTCACATCCACAGCCTCTTTTTTCCCTTCGCCTTCCTCTTAGAAAGTGTTGCTGTTTACCTGAACTCAGACCTGAGATACTTCCTGCTTACCTGTCCTGCTTTTCACTGTTACTGTCTCTTTTCTCTCTCTTCCTTCCTACCATTTCCTTTCCTTTCTTCCTCTCCTCCACCTCTCAGCTTGCCATCCTCATCGTTCTCCTTGTCCACGCTTCCGGGACCACAGCTTAACCTTTGACCCCTCAGTGAACCTTGGTTGACCCCTGAACCCTTTACCCCATGTCCCCTCCTACTCCTCCTGCACCTCCACAGAGAAAGCGGCACTACTGGCGTCTGGACTGCAAGTGCATCATCTTGTTCCAGAACAACACCACCAACAAGTACTATAAGGTATTGGATTCTCCAGCACCACTCAACTAGATTAGCAACACAATAAACTTCACAGGTGCTATATGAGTCGGGTGTCAATCAATCAATCAACTTTATTTTATAGAGCCCTTTTTACATCAGTACTGGTCACAAAGTGCTTATACAGATACCCAAAAGAGTGTGCGATGCAGATGTAGATGGTCTCTCACAGTAAAAGTCTACACACCCCTTGCAGAGTTTTGACAATTTGCTGCCTTAAAGTTGAATCTAAAAAGGGATTGAATTAGATTCTTCTCATATTGATCTACACAACCTACTACACATTTTCAAAGTGAAAGAAAAATGATAGAATGTAAATAAAGAAAAATGTCTTGATTGCGTTTGTCTTCACATATTAACTTGATTGCGTACATCCCCTGTCCTCACGTCCTTCCCCCTGTCCTGTAGGAGATCCCTCTGTCTGAGATTCTGGAGGTGCGCCCCGCAGGTGACTTCACCCTGGTTCCTCCGGGCACCAGTCCCCACTGCTTCGAGCTTGTCATGGGCGCCATGCGCTACTTTGTAGGGGAGGACCCCAACATCCACGTCCCCGCCCTGCCCCCCACCACCCCACAGGCCTTCCCGCCCACACCCCCCTTCCCCCAGCAACGTGGTACCCAATAGCGGCGTGGGGCGGGAAGTGGCCAAGGCATGGGAGGGTGCCATTCGCCAGGCCCTCATGCCAGTCATCTTCCAGGATGCACCACCGGTAGAGGGACACACTCCCCACAGTAAGAAATATAACTTCACAATAATAATATGGTCATTTAGCGAAACTTTAATTCCCAAGTGTCTTAGTTCTAACGTTCCAACCAAGTTAGCCATCTAAAGAACAGAATCATGGGGTCTGGATCTGATCTCAGTCTAGCTCTTAGTCTGGATTTACAGCACTGCTGTTTGTGATCTGGGGAAAGGGGGCTGGTGTTGAGGGAGATTTACAGTGAAAGGCTTCTGAGTGGTATGCAGTCCAAAGCTCGAGGAACTCAGAAGCTTGTTTTCAGAGCTCTTTGCGCACACACACACACACGCACACGCTCTCTCTGTAGTGACCCCACATAAGCTCAGATGGAAGTCCTGTATATCTTAGTGTGGATGGTTAGCATGTTTTACTTTGATCCGCAGGACAGGCTTCTGTCAGCATCTCAGTGTCTAACAGTGTGATCCAGGAGAATGTGGTGAGTAGTCTCTTGACACACAGTCATAATACATGATCGTACATTATACACATTCACAATCATTACCAAGGACGTTGTGGTGATGATAATGATGATCAAATGTACGATAATGATGATGATTATGTTGCTGATGCTTTTTTATCAATTTCTCCTCCAGGACATTGGTATGGTGTACCAGATATTTGCAGATGAAATCCTTGGTTCTGGGCAGTTTGGAGTGGTGTATGGAGGCAAGTGTCTCCAATCTTCTCCAATCTCTGTTTTGAGTCGTTGAATCACAATTAATCAGACTCCTGTAATTTCCTCTCTTCTTCCTGCCATCAGGGAAGCACAGGAAGACGGGGCGTGATGTGGCGGTGAAGGTGATTGACAAGCTGCGCTTCCCCACCAAGCAGGAGAGCCAGCTGAGGAACGAGGTGGCCATACTGCAGGTAACCACCAGGGGGAGACAGATACACATCTTCACTGGGTCTCCCACTACTAGTCTAGTTCATCAGCTGTGTGGCTGGTGGCTTACTGCTGCCACACAAAGATTGCGTCCCAAATGGCACCGTATTCTCTACATAATGCACTACCTTGGTAAAAAGTAGTGCAATATGTAGGGAATAGGGTGCCATTTGGGATTCAAACCTCAAATACACAACACGTTATCAGCAACAAAAGAGTGATCAAATTAAGATCCAACGTCTGTACAGGCCACAAGGGTCCATTTTTACATCATGGGGTTGTCATGCCAACTGCATTCAATTACATTAGCAGGTTTTGCAGCAGAATTATCTCTATGGGGTGCACTTAGATAAAGGTCAAGTGACAAATAAACACTGCCTTCGCACTATACTCTAACTGATACTCATTCTAATTCTCTCCTCTCTGTATCTTTCTCTCCCTCCCTGTGTGTCATTTCCCCTCTTCTGCCATTTCTCTCTTTTCTTCTCTGTCTCTCTCACTGTCTCTTGCTCTTTTTCCCCATTTTCCACATGCTTTCCCTCTCTCCCCTCTTCCTCCTCCCCCTCCCTCTCGCCATCTCTCAGAGTCTACGTCACCTGGGCATAGTGAATCTGGAGTGTATGTTTGAGACTCCAGAGAAGGTGTTTGTGGTGATGGAGAAGCTCCATGGAGACATGTTGGAGATGATCCTGTCCAGTGAGAAAGGCAGGCTCCCAGAGAGGCTCACCAAGTTCCTCATCACACAGGTCAGTGTGTGTGTGTGTGTGTGTGTGTGTGTGTGTGTGTGTGCACTCCCATACGACAACAAATACATTTACAAAGAATTTTTTTATAATTATTTAGGATACATGTGACATTTTTACAATTGGACAATCATGTATTTGTCCAATTGTAATGTTCCACGAAATGAGTGCCTTTTGCGGCCCTTTTGATAAGTTAAGTAACAATTATGCACCAATATTGAATTTTTGAACGCCTGTTATATGAAATGAAGTCCCCTTTAATATAGACCACATGGAGAATTAAAAAAATTTGAATTTCAATATGAATAAAGACTTGCTAAAGTGCAAAAATTCTGCATTTTGACATGTCCCTCCGGGCACCCTCTGTGACTTCTAGGAAGATTTTAAACCCCCAAAATACTCCAGGTTTTCACCATCATTTAATTGGGTTTCCATCCAATTGGCGACAGATTTTCATGCAAATATTCTAAAATCTGCAAAAAGAAAATATGTGCATTTCCCACCAGTGGTGTGTTTCCACCAAACAGACTTGTTGCGGATAAAAATCAGTGTGTGATGACATAGTGCAAACTAAATGTACTTTTTTCTTGTTCCGAATAAAAATCTAAAGTTCAATGCATTGCATTTTTAACTCTATGGAAAGTTTTGTCACAAAAACTGTTGCATATTTAACGCAAACAAATGTGCCTACTTTGGTCTTGGCATGTGCGCTCAATAGCCAACAGCTCTCAGATACAGTTCGGGTAGGCTGTGCAGGTAGGTTAGTCTACATGATGAGATTATTATGGATAAGAGAATATTTTTATTTGTCAAATGGCAGTCAAGCATCGATCATCATGTCACCAGAATTAGACCCTCGATATTTATTGGAAAGGAGCATCAAGCGCATCACCGTGCACTTTAACCCCCCTGTGAAGTTCATCATAATTTATTTCATCTGTAGCCTAATAAACTGCAAGGTTTCCCCAGTCGTAGTGGGAGGATCACACAACATATCATTGCGTGACTTCGGTACGATGGTTAATACTCCCTGTAGACTAGATGTCATAGCCATGCATTTCTGGAATATTGTCAGGCATTGCATGCATTTTAGGAAAGATGCAAATTTGAAATATATAGATTATTTAGTTTTTATCTGTATGGGTTTGATACTGTTTTGTATACAGTAAAAAAAAAAATTGTTAAGCCACATTTTAATACACTTATCTAGATGTGTTTGTGTGTGTTTCTCATATTTTCTCACATCATGAAAATCAACATGCGGTTTGGTGGTTACCGTTTCCTGTTGCTCACTCCACAGATCACTCACTATGTAACACATGTCCTAAGCGTATGTTATTTTGGGGGTGTATTCTCACTCTGTGCGTTTAGTTCCTGTTACAGCCCAGAGAGTCTAAGCCAAATCCGGTTTGTGTGTGTAGATTCTGGCAGCCCTGAGGAACCTGCACTTTAAGAACATTGTCCACTGTGACTTGAAGCCTGAGAATGTCCTGCTGGCCTCTGCCGAGCCCTTCCCCCAGGTACATACACCTGTTATCACACTATCACACACACCATGACTCTACATATCCAAGGTAATGTAGACAGCACTTAACTCCATGTAATGCACCTTAATGCATATTATACAAATTCACCCTGACTTCATTCTACTCCAAAGTAGCGATTCACACAGTATTTCTTCTTCTTCTTCTTCTTCTTCTTCTTCTTCTTCTTCTTCTTCTTCTTCTTCTTCTTCTTCTTCTTCTTCTTCTTCTTCTTCTTCTTCTTCTTCTTCTTCTTCTTCTTCTTCTTCTTCTTCTCACTCTTGTCTCTCCCTCACTTGTCGCCCCTCCCCCCCCCATTCTCCAGGTGAAGCTGTGTGACTTTGGCTTTGCCCGTATCATTGGTGAGAAGTCGTTCAGGCGTTCGGTGGTGGGCACCCCAGCCTACCTGGCCCCAGAGGTGCTGCTCAACCAGGGCTATAACCGTTCCCTGGACATGTGGTCTGTAGGAGTCATCATGTACGTCAGCCTCAGTGGCACCTTCCCCTTCAACGAGGATGAGGACATCAACGACCAGATCCACAACGCTGCCTTCATGTACCCACCCAACCCCTGGAAACAGATCTCACCTGATGGTAAGACACACACACACACTTGCACTCATGCATGGCAAATGCAAGTGTCTTACGCACGGGTAAGTATATCCAAATATACAGATTATCATGGCATACACATACAGTTCACATACTGTTATCACCTGTGTGCCTGTGTTCCTCTTCAGCCACTGACCTGATCAACAACCTGCTCCAGGTGAAGATGAGGAAACGCTACAGCGTGGACAAGAGCCTCAGTCACTCCTATCTACAGGTACGCTAGTCAACAGAAGCAGCTATACAAAAGTCCATTACCTACAGTGGAGACACCAGAGACACAAGGCCCCCTAACTGACTTATTTCTCATGTATCTCTCCGTCCTCAAACCTCTTATCTCATCCTCTTATCTTCTTCCCCATCCTCCCTATCCTCCCGTCATCCCTCCCTCCTCAACGTTTCCTCCCTCCCTCCCTCCATCCTCTCCAGGACTACCAGACGTGGTTGGATCTAAGGGAGCTGGAGACCAAGCTGGGTGAGCGCTACATCACCCACGAGAGTGACGACTGCCGCTGGCAGATGTTTGCCCGCGAGCACACACTCCCCTATCCAGCCCACCTGGTGCCCCCTCTGCCTGCGCCCGGCTCCGACGATGAGGCCGGGGAGGATGCAGACATGCAGGGGCTCACCGAGAGGGTCAGCATACTCTGAGAACCAGGAGAACCAGCAGAACCAGGACCCACGAGGGCCCAAGGGACTCAGACTGACCCAGGGAAGAGGAGGGGAGTGTGGGGAGCGAATGGGGAGAGAGAGGGGCTGGCTGGATGGATGGAGGTCTAGAGAGTGGGGAGGGTGAGGCTGGGAGGTTTAGCTGTAGAACAGTGCCTTCTATAGAGATGATCCCGCCCCTATCCGTCTACTAATGGTGTCCACTCTGGCCCAAGCCTGTCCAATCTCCAGACCCCATCCTTGACCCCTCTCTCATCGGTCCAGCTTAGCTCTTCAACCCTAGAACTCGTTGAGTGTAAGAGACTGCTCTTCTGTATCCCACAAGGACATACTGTACTGTATCCAGTGGTGTCAGGGGATGTGTAGAATATCATTGCTGCAGTGTGCTCATTCAGTCTAAACTGCAGTATGGCAGAGGTCAGTTTGGGTGAACACTCAAACTGCAAACTAAGCTCCTGGCGGAGGCACAACACGCTACTTTCTCTCCATCTCAGAAGCCTGGGGAAGCACATAAAATGCCCCCTCGGGTATGTCATCCTGGAGCCAGCCAGCCAGACAGACAGACAGACAGAGAGACAGCGAGAGAGAGAAAAAACCTATTTAAGGACTCAATCCATTTATGCATGACTTACACCCACCCATAAGCAAATCCTTATGAACCTTTTTAATTGAATGTGATGACTGGAAGCGCCCTGCATGTACTGTCAGACCTGTTTGCTGCAGACCTCAGAGTTTATATAGTGCCTGTAAGTGGTAGATAAAGGGCTTATAATTGTAGGCAGCAGACCAGTGCTAGTGGACTGTCATGGTCTCAGAGAAAATCTGCAGTTCAAATGACAGCAAAGTAAAACAAAGCCAGAAATGGATGTACCAATCAAAGATTGCCCATTTAAAACTGTCGTCTGATACGATCCTAGTTGGTGCAACGCCATTATTGATGATGACTTATTAGTGAAGACTGAAGACTGCTCATCATCGGAGGTGCTAATTCACAAGCCATGGTGATTCGAGGGTGTCCTAGACCTGTAGACATACACTGTTACAATGAAGGCAATGTGGACGTTTTCTGAATAGTTTGTCATGGACACCATTAAACACCAATGGACAGTGGGGAAAATGCTATTGCTCTTTTAGTTATAGTAGAAAGACAATTAACTGCCCATCTCTGGAGTCAATGTGTGGGAGGAGGGGTTATGATATTGATTACTGACTATGAACCTAGCATGTCAACACGTTGCATGTCCATGTGAAGTAGATTTGTCTAGAAGAAAAGCATAGTTATGAAGGAATATTATGTACATGTATAACCATATCTTTATGTAGTGTAATCAATGTATGCTTGGAGAATGTAAACCTATGGAAGATCCCAGCATTTATATGTAACATCAGTACAAACCTTGACATACCATTTTTCATCTGTGTCATTTATTCAGCGCGTTGCCTCTTGAGACAGAAGATTAGGGGGAAATATGGAAGACTAAGGAGAATTATAGGGGGAAATAATGATGGTGATTATACATACCACTCATATCTATATCAAATCGCATCCTAGCACATACATTTTCATGACCTGCATCAGTCATGCTCATCAGACATTACCTGCTCAGAATTTCCATCACACTGCAACATATACCGTATGTGGATTGAATGACAGATTGAGAGAGAGAAACATTTATATAGAGAGAGCATCAATAATGCTTAATAATCAACATGTATGGATTATATTTTCTTCGCAAGATGTTTACTCCCCTTATGATTGACAGGCCAATATCTACCTACTTAATATACCATCATCCCATGTGGATGTCCTGCTTTCAAGGCCTTTTCACAGCCTGTCAATCAGTTCTGCTAGACAACCAGTGTAAATTACCATGCAGGGCCGAGTGTCTGTTGTCTGTTGATTTTTGTTATTTTCTTTCAGTTTGTGTCCAATTACGACCTAGACAACAAGGTAAGAGGAGTGCCTAACTAATCAGTGACCTTAATTGATCAATCATGTACAATGGAGGAGAGAAAACCGTAGACACTCGTCCCTCCATGAAATTAGTTTGATACCTGTGCCACTTGTCAAGATACAAAGACAGCGTTTTGCATTATTCTACACTGGCATATTATGAGAGCCTTGTGGCCAGCTGTGAAAGAAAGGACCACTTGTTTACATTTTTAAAATATACATATACAGTGCCAGTCAAAAGTTTGGACACACCTACTCATTCAAGGGTTTTTCTTTATTTTTACTATTTTCTACATTGTAGAATAATAGTGAAGACATCAAAACAATGAAATAACACATATGGAATCATGTAGCAACCAAAAAAGTGTTAAACAAATCAAAATATATTTTAGATTCTTCAACGTAGCCACCCTTTGCCTTGATGACAGCTGGGCACACTCTTGGCATTCTCTCAATCAGCTTCATGAGGTAGTCACCTGGAATTAACAGGTGTGCCTTGATAAAAGTTAATTTGTGGAATTTCTTTCCTTCTTAATGCGTTTGAGCCAATCAGTTGTGCTGTGACAAGGTAGAGTTGGTATACAGAAGATATCCCTATTTGGTAAAAGACCAAGTCCATATTATGGCAAGAACAGCTGAAATAAGCAAAGAGAAATGACAGTCCATCATTACTTTAAGACATGAAGGCCAGTCAATCCGGAACATTTCAAGAACTTTGAAAGTTTCTTCAAGTGTAGTTGCAAAAACCATCAAGCGCTATGATGAAACTGACTCTCATGAGGACCGCCACAGGACAGGAAGACCCATAGTTACCTCTGCTGCAGAGGATAAAGTTCATTAGAGTTACCACATCAAGTAACAGACACATCTCAACATCAACTCTTCAGAGGAGACAGCGTGAATCAGGCCTTCATGATCTAATTGCTGCAAAGAAACCACTACTAAAGGACACCAATAATAAGAAGAGACTTGCTTTGGCCAAGAAACACGAGCAATGGACATTAGACCGGTGGAAATCTGTCCTTTGGTCTGATGAGTCCAAATTTGACATTTTTGGTTCCAACCGCCATGTCTTTGTAAGACGCAGAGAAGGTGAATGTATGATCTCTGCATGTGTGGTTCCCACTGTGAAGCATGGAGGTGTGATTGTGCTTTACTGGTGACACCATCTGTGATTTATTTAGAATTCAAGACACACTTAACCAGCATGGCTACCACAGCATTCTGCAGCGATTGTTTTTCAACAGGACAATTACCTAACACAAATACAGGCTGTGTAAGGGCTATTTGAACAAGAAGAAGAGTGATGGAGTGCTGCATCAGATGACCTGGCCTCCACAATCACCCGACCTCAACTCAATTGAGATGGTTTGGGATGAGTTGGACCGCACAGTGAAGAAAAAGCAGCCAACAAGTGCTCAGCATTTGTGGGAACTCCTTCAAGACTGTTGGAAAAGTATTCCAGGTGAAGCTGGTTGAGAGAATGCCAAGAGTGTGCAAAGCTGTCATCAAGCAAAGGGTGGCTACTTTGAAGAATCTAAAATCTAAAATAAATGTTGATTTGTTTGCACTTTTTTGGTTACTACTTGATTCCATATGTGTTATTTCATAGTTGTGATGTCTTCGTTATTATTCTATAATGTAGAAAATAGTAAAAATAAAGAAAAACCCTTGAATGAGTAGGTGTGTCCAAACTTTTGACTGGTACTGTATATGCCATTTAGCAGGTGCTTTTATCCAAAGTGACTTAGTCATGCGTGCATACATTTGCGTATGGGTGGCCCCAGCAGGAATTTAAACCACGACTCTTGATGTTGCAAGCACCATGCTCTACCGATTTAGCCACACAGGACCAAACTGAATGGTGAGTTCTTCACTATCCTGCAGGGTCTGACAGAGGGACAATTGTTGCTCCTACTGGTTGGTAAGTGGCCATCTCATACAGCAGGTAAAAAGGACATCACACTCTGAACCTTTTTGGTGGCAGCAATAAACCCATCAGACAAGCGTTCAAATAGTGAGTATTTGTTATTTAAATTAGTATTTCCAAATAATCAACTACTTCTATTGGAAGTATTTGAAATATATTTTAAATAATGTTCTATAAATAGCCTACTATTTGAAAGTATTTTTGAATACCAGGATTAAATGCATGGGAGTGTATTTGAGTGAGTGTTTTGAGTATTTTTAAATTGTCATGACTTCCGCCGAGGCTGCCTCCCCTCCTTGTTCGGGCCGCTTTCGGCGTTCGTCGTCACCGGCTTACTAGCCACTGCCGCTCCATATATCATCATTCCATTTGTCTTGTCTTGTCAATCACACACACCTGGTTCTTATCCCCTCATTAGTCTGTGTATAAGTGTTCCCTCTGCCCCCCTTGTGATTGTTATTTGTGAGAGTAGTGTAGCTCGGTGGAGCTACTCGCACTTTGTATTGCCGGGGTAGATACAGTGGGGGAAAAAAGTATTTAGTCAGCCACCAATTGTGCAAGTTCTCCCACTTAAAAAGATGAGAGAGGCCTGTAATTTTCATCATAGGTACACGTCAACTATGACAGACAAAATGAGAAAAAAAAATCCAGAAAATCACATTGTAGGATTTTTAATGATTTTATTTGCAAATTATGGTGGAAAATAAGTATTTGGTCAATAACAAAAGTTTCTCAATACTTTATTATATACCCTTTGTTGGCAATGACACAGGTCAAACGTTTTCTGTAAGTCTTCACAAGGTTTTCACACACTGTTGCTGGTATTTTGGCCCATTCCTCCATGCAGATCTCCTCTAGAGCAGTGATGTTTTGGGGCTGTCGCTGGGCAATACGGACTTTCAACTCCCTCCAAAGATTTTCTATGGGGTTGAGATCTGGAGACTGGCTAGGCCACTCCAGGACCTTGAAATGCTTCTTACGAAGCCACTCCTTCGTTGCCCGGGCGGTGTGTTTGGGATCATTGTCATGCTGAAAGACCCAGCCACGTTTCATCTTCAATGCCCTTGCTGATGGAAGGAGGTTTTCACTCAAAATCTCATGATACATGGCCCCATTCATTCTTTCCTTTACACAGATCAGTCGTCCTGGTCCCTTTGCAGAAAAGCCCCAAAGCATGATGTTTCCACCCCCATGCTTCACAGTAGGTATGGTGTTCTTTGGATGCAACTCAGCATTATTTGTCCTCCAAACACGACGAGTTGAGTTTTTACCAAAAAGTTATATTTTGGTTTCATCTGACCATATGACATTCTCCCAATCCTCTTCTGGATCATCCAAATGCACTCTAGCAAACTTCAGACGGGCCTGGACATGTACTGGCTTAAGCAGGGGGACATTTCTTGCACTGCAGGATTTGAGTCCCTGGCGGCGTAGTGTGTTACTGATGGTAGGCTTTGTTACTTTGGTCCCAGCTCTCTGCAGGTCATTCACTAGGTCCCCCCGTGTGGTTCTGGGATTTTTGCTCACCGTTCTTGTGATCATTTTGACCCCACGGGGTGAGATCTTGCGTGGAGCCCCAGATCGAGGGAGATTATCAGTGGTCTTGTATGTCTTCCATTTCCTAATAATTGCTCCCACAGTTGATTTCTTCAAACCAAGCTGCTTACCTATTGCAGATTCAGTCTTCCCAGCCTGGTGCAGGTCTACA